GAGCTGACGTTGGCTTACAGGCTTTGGACGGGAGGTGCGGATTTTTTTGCGGGCACAGATGCACCACAACTGCTCTCTCTGCCAGGGTAATGTCAACGTACCCCCTGGCTGCCCCGCCATCGAGGGTAGTGAGGACGGAGGAGATCGACGAGCAGTGTTGGGGGTAATGCATTACAAGTAACGCGAGTTACGTAATCCGATTACTTTTTTCAAGTAACTAGTAAAGTAACGCATTACTTTTTAATTTACAAGAGAATATCTGAGTTACTTTTTCAAATAAGTAATGTAAGTTACTTTTTTTTTTTTTATTTATTGATTGACAGCTCTCCTGTCCCCATGTTGAGAGAAATCAGAAGATGTTACTGTAGTTCTAAAATAAATATGAATATGCATTAATTCATCTTACTTACAAAAAAAACCTACAAAAAAAAAAACAGATTCAGTATTCCTCAAAATGAATAAAAATAATGCAACTCAGAATATGATGCAAACATGCAATAATTAAATGTTAAACAACACAAATATCCTTTATGTATTTAATCCCATTCTATTAACCAATGTCTTTGCTTCTGACCTTCGATGATCCAGTTCAACCGTACTAATAAGCAAAAATTATTCTAGACAAACATTTGTGTGTCTTTTTTTATTGCTGAAGTGTGTTAAAATTTCTTCTTCTGCATTCTACTGTACGGACGTAAATTTACTTTCCCTTCAGCCTGAGGCTTATTCATTTCACTTTTGGTGTGAAAAGGCTTTTATATTTGCCAAAAATATAACTTTTTTATTTTAAAAACAAACAAGCAAGCCCTGTCCAGATTTAAAAAGTAACGCAAAACTAACGTAACGCATTGCTTTCCATAAAAAGTAACTAAGTAACGTAATTAGTTACTTTTTTATGGAGTAACGCAATATTGTAATGCATTACTTTTAAAAGTAACTTTCCCCAACACTGTCGACGAGTGGCTTCTGGCCATAAAAGAGGCCTTCCACGACTTCGTGACCTCCTCATGCACCTCCGGGAAGAAAGGAACCGGGGCAGAACGTGGTTGTGAGCTGCGCTCTGTGCCGAGAAACCAACCGTCTAGCCACGAGCGCTCAGGGCTGGGCGGTGTGTTCACCTCCAACCCAATGCTCATGGCTGCCCGGGCAAGTATGGCCGTCAACTCTAGGTTGGCGAGGGGTTGGCCGCCGAATCTTCACCCTCAGAGAACGATAGCCCATCCCCTGATGCTGCTATCGACATCTGATCCTCTGGCGGAGCCCAGAATGAAACGCTGGGAGCGCCATGTGATGGGCCAGTGGAATAATCCGGAAGCTGTACAGGACAGGCGCTGCATGAGGAGTAGGAGGTCCGTGGGGACTGGCCCGGCGGATTTGCTCCTACTGTAATCCTCAAATCTCCCAGAGCACTGTGCTGTGCAGAAGAACCACGATGGGTAGTGACAGAGGGGTCTCCTCCTTTCCTCAGAAAACCAACCACAACCAAGAGGACACGGACAGAGTGGCATCTTGGAAAAGACACAGACCGTCCGTGATTTGCTTTTTAGAGGAAACTGCTCTTTTAGTTGAAGCGCCCAGGGGAATCGCTGAAGCAGAGACACCGTTGTTTGCGCCGTCATGCCAACCAAGGACAACCCTCTTCACTACTCCAAGGTAAATGGTTTTGTGGATTGCTCTTTACGCAACCACTCAGCTCCAAAGCAAAAATCTGAATGAGTGGATGCACGCCACCGCCTTAGATACCCGTATGTATGGGGGAGTGGCTTGGCATGCAAAATCCACTCGCCAATTCTCATTGGTCGTTTCTCTTAAACTCTCTTAAACTCAGAGTTGATTGGTGCTCCCAAGTAAAACCCCTAATGTCATCATAACTCGTAGAGACCGACAGATAGGGAACAATTGTCATTAGGCTACATTCTATGCAATTTAAGGTTTTCATAAAGCCAACTTCTAATTTTTATAAAGTTATGGATTTTTGATTTTTTAAAATACTACCAAATAAACTACTCCACAGATACCCTGTAAACACGTTTGAGTTGAACAGGCAAAAAAAATCAAACCCTTTTGTCTCTGTCCTGTGGGATAGTCGAGTGCGTTGCAGAGAACCATCAAAGACCTGGACATAAAGGTCTTTTTCCTCCAAGTCAATTACAACTGCTTCAGGAAATATTGATGGGGGATTTTAAAACGCTGTGGGAATCCAACAAATCCATCCAGTGCATGGCACTGAGCTCCGGTGAATGTCAGCGAACAGAGGTGATGAGAGAGAGCAGCACTGGAGGTGGAGGTCGTGCACTATACGGCTCTAACACATGAACAAGACGGACACGTGTAAAGCATTGATTGGGTGTTTAAGAGAGAGACTGAAGGACATCTGTAGAGGATCACGAATGACGGCTGAGCAGACAGACAGTGTGAGCGTGAGAGGAGGGAGATCTGACAGCGCTCCGTATGAGTGTGAGACAGACAGCGACATCTGTTATTTCTCTCGGTCTGTGTAAATGATGTGTGTGGATTCTGCTGCCCTCTTGGATCCAACATGTGTAATTACAGTCAAATGATTACGATACATTTGACACCCCAGACGGCATGAACGCAGACTGCTGCGCATTGCACTAAAAAATGACTAAAGGATACCCTGACCAAAATCGCCTTTCACTTTGCTTTGTGCAAGATCTGGGAATGAGGCCTGTTGGTTGATAGTAGGTCATTCTAATCAACTGCTGCGTAATGTCTACATACCCACTGGTGGTCCACACATTGGTCATGACTCAACATTGTTGCATTGCCAACAATCGTTAATGTTGCCTCAAACCACCAACTCTCATTAAAAATGAAAGTCTTCAAGTCGCTTTGCTGCTCACTCAGTGTGAACAGCTGTGAATGCTTGGCCTTTTCAATCTCTAATATAAACTGAGTCTTGCTCTGTCTTTCCGTTTTGGAAAACACTGCAGTTTCAAATATATAATCCAATAAAGCTTATATAATACAATTAACATCAAACATGTGAAACATGAGCTAAATGCATACACTGAACTGAAACTTTCAGCACTGCTTTTGAAAGCAAAGGAGTGATGACAGAAAACTGCAAGAATCTGCATTAGAATGGCTTTGGTACAAACTCCACACATTACACGCATCCATGTGCATGAAGAGTAGAGGTTAATCAGCTGGAAGACTGACAGATCATGTTCCAAATAAGATTTCTATATGGAGCAGAGCTTTCCTGCAGCCCACACGAAGGGAAGCACAGATGAGTCATTCTGATCGCTTCTAAACTCCCAAACAGACGGCTGAGAGATCAGATGCTGTCATGGGATCACCGTCAGCTGAATCAGCACTGCATCACTGGATGTTCACTGACAATTAAAGTGATAACAGAAATCAGTGATGAAATGCTTTGATCCAAAGTGGATTTCATGAATACATAAGCAAGAAGCAGATCATACTCCGTCTCTATATAGGACACATTTTGTAAAAAATGTGTGTGAGATGTTTAATGCATGTGAAGCAATGATGAATAAAATCAAAATGTCTTTTAAAATTAGCTCCATATTTTCACCATATCATACTATATGAGCCATAAAAGCCTGATGTGCAAATGCGGGACGGTCCCGAAATTGGGAGCTTTGTCCCGCATCCTGCAATATGTAAGCAGTGTCCTGCATTTCAATTATGTTTGTATTATTTTCTTTCTTCCTTTAATTTACAATCCACAATAAGAAATATCATAATAAAAAATGTGATTGTCATTTAAAAATCCATTTGCGCAGCCGTCATGTTGTAGCCAGAGTGGGGAAAATAACCAACCAACGCATTCACAGAGAGGATTTATTTCCACTGATGACGACTGGACGGAGCAAAGGATTCAGTGTGGACCTCATCAAAAGTCTTTAAATACAGCTACACCAGCCAGGACTTCAGCTAGACGCATACTGGATAAGAACATCCTGATCGAAGCTGCCAGATCCAATAAAAAAATACAAGATCAAGATGCACTGAATCCAGTAAAATGCTAATCTTTTATTTTTTATTATTTATGTTCCTAAAATAAAGGAACATAGTCACTACTTAAGGAAATTTATTTTAGCATAAAATGTGATTTTTACTCACTAGCCTGTTACCAGAGGTGTAAAAAGTACCTGAAAATCATACTTGAGTAAAAGTACAGATACCTTACACTGAAAATGACTCCATTACAAGTTACCAATTCCAATATTTCACTCACACTAAATGAAGGCTCAAAGATGCACTAGTCCTGAACACCTAAGAGAAAAGCCAGTGAAAAACAAGAAACAGCTGATTTGTGAGGAGAGCAATCACATGTTTATTTTCTAAAATCAAAATAAAACCGAACACCTCAAAACTGCAATAAATGAAGGTCGACACAACAGCCTCTTAAACGTCTACAAACACTGAAGTCTGAGTTTAGCTCAAAAAGAGCATAAGTAAAGCAGTACCCTTCAAGAAGGTCTCAGCCATGTCCTCATCTCATAAATGAAACGCCTGCGATTCATAACTAGCTGCTAACGCACTCACATTCATGTAAAGCAGCCGTGTTGACAAGTTTGGGTGAGTAAGAGCAAAAGATTCTTACAGTAACTAATTACATTTACTCAAATACATTACACTGCCTGTTACTCAGTTTATTATACTGAGTAGACTGAATAGGTCCTTTAGAGTGAATTACATTGCATCAATTGAACCTGTGCAAACTGAGTGCCAGTCACAGAGCTGATGATTTAAAGCATGTTTTTAAATTTATCCTACTGTCTTGCAACAGAGAAATAACCAAGTGGCCACCCTAGATAGGCCTATAACAACATAAAACACATTTTTTCTTAATGTTTTGTCTACAGGTTCAATAAACCTGTTTTTTTTTTTTTGACTATTATTTCATACATCAGGCTTTTAAAACAAGGTCAACCAGCCGACCGGTCTGGAGCAACATGGAAATACACGCTGAGCCAGCATTATGTGTGCAAAATATAGTTTCTCACCCGCAGTCGATGGTCATCTGTATCAACCACTGTGGCCACTCGGATCAGAGCAGGATTCCTCTTGTCGACCACCTCCAACTTCATATTGAGCTGGAAACTGTGAGGAGGTTTCTGCAGAGAGAGGCCGAGAGAGGCTTGTTCAGGCACCTCGGGTCTCTCAGAGGACCTGCAGATGTTTGGCAAGAAGCACATGCACTCACCACTTTGAAGGCTCGAGCAGGAGCTGGTAATGAGCTGGTCTCTGCCAAGTATTTCTCCCAGGAGAAGTTCTTCACATCAGGGTATCCTACAGCACAGAGAGAGTGAGGTTTGAGGGACTGATGAAAACATGATATTTCCCAGTGCTCACTGGTTTTTATGGTGTATTATGAGATAATTTTGAAAATGGGACAATCCTAAAAGTGGGCTTTGAGGCTGGTCCGCTACCTGCTGAACTAGAGACAACATTAAACATTGTTACAAATAAATAAATAAATACAAACTAATGGACATCTTTTATAAGAGAATGAACTACTCGCTTCGTCCCATGAAACATTAGGAATGACATAATCAAATCAGAAATTATGTTAAATACAACAGAGTTCATGCAAGTTTTACGAACGTAAATTTAAGACTTTTTAAAGCCATATAAAAGACCAATTAAAGAAAATGTAAGCAATAAATTAACGGGAACACAATATGTCAATATGGTCTCTAAATGTAGATGTCTAAGCAGCACACAATAATTTTTAGCAAGACTTCAAAGCTTGAAAATACAACTTCCAACCAATCTACATTACTTTTTAATTCATTTTACACACACACACACACACACACACACACACACACACACACACACACACACACACAAAAGCTGGAAATGAAGTGAATTTATGATTAAAAAGGGTAAATATTTGCCAGTGGGCTTAGAAAAATCAACTTAATGTTTTTTAATGTTTTTTTACCCCACAGATAGATATTTGTTCTTGTTTTAAGCATAAATTCACTTAATTTTGTTCAGAAAACAAGACTTCGTATCTTTACTTTGCATCTCAAGTAAATGTATCTTGATTTGAGGATGTTTCAATATTTGTAATGAAAAATAAAACAAAAATACTGACAAAGATATTAATTTTTTTGCAGCGCAAGCAACATTTAATGCCATTAATCTACGAATTTAAGACTTTCTGCTCCGATTTAAGACTTTTTAAGGCCTTCATTTGTGGAAGGGTGAATTAAGACCCGCAGAAACCCTGATTCAACAACTGACTTGCAGAGGACTGTGTGATAAAGAACTATATACAATATGTCCTTGTGATTTTCCTGGTGCAGAGTTACTAATATACATCTGAATCCCCAGCAGAAGTCTGAAGTCAGGTCAGCATAAACACACGCCATCCTCTAGACCAGTGTTTCTCAACCGGGGGTACGCGTACCCCTAGTGGTCCATCACATAATTGCAGGGGGTCCGTAGAATTATTAAAAAAATTTTTTTTTATTATTATAACCATGAACTGATATATACATGCATGTATATACATGCATGTTTTTATAATATATCTGTTCTAGATTCAATGTAAACACTATGCTTTGGCAATACATTGTAACAATTGGCATGCCATTAAAGCACTAATTGAATTAAATTTAATTGAGAGAGAGAGAGAGAGAGATAGGTGACAGCTTCAGCAGAACTAAGGGTGTGTGAATACCTGGGTCTGTCTTTCTTCAGTTCAATATAATCATGAAAAAATCAGTTTGCCATCAGTTGTGAGAAGATGAAAGCGATATCTGTGTCGTTGTATCCTTTCAGTATTTAAGGGGATTTCCCACGACTGTCATCAGCGCTGTTCAGTACACTGAATCAATGGCATTGTTCTCTATGAAGTGAAATATCAGCTTCACTGTAACCCATGCGATGCGTTGATTGTTGACTGAGCCTTGTAAACTGGCACTCAAAGTAAATTAATGTGAACACCTTCTTTCATTCATGAATAAATCAGCATTTTTAAGTGTATCCCTTGAATGAATGTTTTTTTAATGATGACTCACTCGTAAAAGTCAATCCATTGCCGCCACCTGCTGGTGTAACAATGCCTGACAGCCCAGCGCTGATACTGAAACATCACTATATAGTCAGTGGCATAAAATGGTCATAAAATGACAATAATATTGTTTCTCGCAGTTATTTCTAGGGCAATATATCGATAAATTAAAAAAAATAGTTAACAAGACCAGCCTATGGACAGGTGGCTTGATAGGCCATCTATCAGTGGACCTGACACCAGAAGAGCTAAGAAAAATGGACAACACAAAAACATGTCAATATCAATGGGGGGCGGGGATCCATGAGGTTGGTTTGAGATATTATGGGGGTCCAGTACTCAAAAAAGGTTGAGAACCACTGCTCTAGACCACGTCCTCATACTGAAGTCCCTCTGAAGATGCTTTGAAGCTAGTCTGCATTTCAGCTGGAATGATGGCTTTCACATGCTAAGATCTAAACCAGCACAAAAACCTAACGTCTTACTGCATATTATCGGAGATCCACAATTAATGAGCTTCAAAAATACAACACACAGACCTGAACTTTCCTTCTTCCATTCACAAGCTCTTTCTAACATAGGAATAGGCTACTTCTAAAGCAGGCAATTGCATAATAGTGTTTTGAAAATCTGTTTTTTTTTTTTACATTTTTCAAAAAAATGATATTTGTGTTGACGTGTTGCATCACCTGGAGGGGTGGTGAGGGTCCTGCCGTTCTCTTGACTCCAGCTAACCGGATGGATATAAGGACTCGTTGCATCACACCTACGGAAAAGAAGAAATACACAAATGCAATTTAATGCAACTGGCAAAATAATCTATTTCATGCATTTCATGCAATGTTTCAAAAACCCTGAATCCATTTCCCCCCTTAAAATTTAGCTCTTTAAAATTACATTTTGAAAAAAAAAAGTATTTCTTATCTTGTCTGGGACAGACAATGCATGCATTAAAATACAATGAAATACACACAAATTAACACGGTTTTGCAATCCATCTGCGCTAGTCGGTGACAATCCAAAAAATGGTGCACACATCTGACAGTCACAGACAGAAGGGAAAAACTATTCTGATAAATCAGAACCAAATAATCATGTGCAGGTAAGACACAAACAAAAACTCATCAACTTTTAAAAGGGAAGCGAAATTTATCTTTCATCGTTTGACTGTCTACATTAATTGTACGCATCATAATTACTTCTTTTCCTGTGGTTTATTGTCTCCCAAAAGCATGAAAGCATCAAAATTCAATCAAACTCTCAAAAATGTTGTATTTTGTTATGTTTCCACAGGCAATGTTAATACATTTCAATATTGGATTTTAAGGACATTTTGATTGTTTTAGTAGGATAAACATTTGTGGAGCTGTGTTGGGTCTCTACTTGACCCTGAAGCAAAACTAGTTGAGAATGAGTGATCTAACAATCATTTCAGCAGTGCTGGACTAAAGCTGACCAGCCCCAGATTGCTCGTAACCCACAACATCTGATGCGTTTCTGATGATAAGATGGCTAAAACAGAATTATGTACTGAAACAGGCACCAATTCTCCTGAACTCCTGAAATAATTTGTTTGAATGAAGTGAAACAAATGTGGTGATGAGATGTTCAGGAGGCGCTGTGGCTCAATGCACAGAGCTGTACCAGAAGAGCTAAGAAAAATGGACAACACAAAAACATGTCAATATCAATGGGGGGCGGGGATCCATGAGGTTGGTTTGAGATATTATGGGGGTCCAGTACTCAAAAAAGGTTGAGAACCACTGCTCTAGACCACGTCCTCATACTGAAGTCCCTCTGAAGATGCTTTGAAGCTAGTCTGCATTTCAGCTGGAATGATGGCTTTCACATGCTAAGATCTAAACCAGCACAAAAACCTAACGTCTTACTGCATATTATCGGAGATCCACAATTAATGAGCTTCAAAAATACAACACACAGACCTGAACTTTCCTTCTTCCATTCACAAGCTCTTTCTAACATAGGAATAGGCTACTTCTAAAGCAGGCAATTGCATAATAGTGTTTTGAAAATCTGTTTTTTTTTTTTACATTTTTCAAAAAAATGATATTTGTGTTGACGTGTTGCATCACCTGGAGGGGTGGTGAGGGTCCTGCCGTTCTCTTGACTCCAGCTAACCGGATGGATATAAGGACTCGTTGCATCACACCTACGGAAAAGAAGAAATACACAAATGCAATTTAATGCAACTGGCAAAATAATCTATTTCATGCATTTCATGCAATGTTTCAAAAACCCTGAATCCATTTCCCCCCTTAAAATTTAGCTCTTTAAAATTACATTTTGAAAAAAAAAAGTATTTCTTATCTTGTCTGGGACAGACAATGCATGCATTAAAATACAATGAAATACACACAAATTAACACGGTTTTGCAATCCATCTGCGCTAGTCGGTGACAATCCAAAAAATGGTGCACACATCTGACAGTCACAGACAGAAGGGAAAAACTATTCTGATAAATCAGAACCAAATAATCATGTGCAGGTAAGACACAAACAAAAACTCATCAACTTTTAAAAGGGAAGCGAAATTTATCTTTCATCGTTTGACTGTCTACATTAATTGTACGCATCATAATTACTTCTTTTCCTGTGGTTTATTGTCTCCCAAAAGCATGAAAGCATCAAAATTCAATCAAACTCTCAAAAATGTTGTATTTTGTTATGTTTCCACAGGCAATGTTAATACATTTCAATATTGGATTTTAAGGACATTTTGATTGTTTTAGTAGGATAAACATTTGTGGAGCTGTGTTGGGTCTCTACTTGACCCTGAAGCAAAACTAGTTGAGAATGAGTGATCTAACAATCATTTCAGCAGTGCTGGACTAAAGCTGACCAGCCCCAGATTGCTCGTAACCCACAACATCTGATGCGTTTCTGATGATAAGATGGCTAAAACAGAATTATGTACTGAAACAGGCACCAATTCTCCTGAACTCCTGAAATAATTTGTTTGAATGAAGTGAAACAAATGTGGTGATGAGATGTTCAGGAGGCGCTGTGGCTCAATGCACAGAGCTGTCAGATGTGATGGCGTGATTTGAGCTGAAGACACTGTCTGTGTGTGTGTGTGTGTGTGTACTCATCCTTCTCCTCCTGAGTAATTGATGAGCAGTTAAAAGCATTCTGTCTGCTCTCCACACACACACACGACACACACACACACACACACACACACACACACACACACACACACACACACACACACACACCACACACAGA